CTCCCTCAGCAGATCTGATGATATCACCATGGCTCTGACCCGCTGCCCAACTACGACAATCCTCAACCGTCGTCGTCGCCTCGTCCGCAGGCCCTTAGCCTCGTAGGTAAGATCCCGCTCCTCTTGACTTGTCATTTCATAATTATATCTATTATTAAATTAGTTGTATAGATTAGACTGTGATTAGTTATTATCTGCGTGGATTGGTTGATGATAGATGAGAATAACTGATATTGTAAAGATAAGAATTATTTACAGAGAAAAAAGATTATTTGAATTAATAGATTATTATATTTAAAGATTATTTTTGAATTATTATTATAATGAGAAAATAATTTATTTTGGAAGAGGGAATATTAAAAAGAATACTTAAAGAATATTTTTTTGAATTATTTAAAAGAGTTTATTTTGGAATAAGGGATTATTTTGAATTGTTATAATAATAAATAATTTAAAAGGAGTTATTTCGAAAAAGGGTTTATATTGAATTAGTATATGATAAAATAATTTAAAGGAAATTATTTGTGAAAAAGGTCATTTTCTGAATTACATAGATGTTGTTCATAAATTATGATTCTTAGATTTTGATTATTTGTGATATACCATGACATTAGTGCTCATGATCAGTTGCATTTATTATTGTGGTGATTGAGAACTGTTAGTAGTTCATGACCTTATTGGCCTTGTACAAGACCTAGAGACATGTGTCTGTTGACTTAGAAAAATAAGAAGAGTTAGAGTGGGAAAGTCTTGGTTCATGTGATCGGATGTGGCTGTTGATGTATCTTCCAAACTTGCCCCAGTGAATTCGTGTAATCACTGGGGTTAGTTTGTTAGGCTAAAGTGAATTCGTGTAGTCACTTTAGTCAGTGAATTTGTGTAGTCACACGAGTTTTGCTTGAGTTCGAACTAGGCTGAAATCAGATTACGTGTAGTCCTCTGTCTGATTCGTGTAGCAGTATTAGATGCACGTAGAGGATTTATGAACAGTCAGTTATCTGATAATATGAACATTGATTCTATGGTAGATATGGACCATTAACCTGTTATAGGATGGTTAGTTACATGACCTCGTTACTTAGATGATTATGGATTCTTGTGAGATGTGGACTAGTTATATTTCTTTTCATACATAATCGGGATTAATATTTAATTATCTATAATTTAAGACATATGGTATATACATGAGGGTTTTCTTGTTTGGATTATTTAGTTCGACGTACTACGTGTCGTGTTGTAGATTAAGTATTAATTCCATCTAGTTGTATGACCTTGTTACTCGGATGTTTATGGATTCTTCTGATTGTTATACTCTAGTGGTGGATTACATCTAGCTTGTTAGTATTCTAGCTGCATGTTTCTATACATTATTATTGTTATTGTATTTGGTCGTTCGACCATTTCTATTCTTCCTTTTGGGATCTTGTCGTGTGTCATGCACGCTAACGTACTCCTATTCTCTCGGGTTGTATATCAGATTTGGAGGACGGACAGGTTCAGCATGAGCCAGAATATTCCCAGCATGAGTGCTTTCTAGACAGAGTAGAAGAAGAAGCCGAAGCTTAGTCATTTCCTTTAGTTGTTCGATGGTACTTTTTTACCTTTGCAGCACCTTCCATTTCCGCTTGATTGATGTATTTTTATGTTCCTCTAGTATTTAGTTAGATTATTTTGTATTAGGGCATGTGTGGTCCGAATATTATGTCTAGGATGATATTTTAGTTGTGATATATATCATTTTGTTCTGAGTTGTTTATTATATTCTCGCTACTGTGATCGGGGACATGTGCCTTTGTTTTACATTATTTGACTCTTATCGTATTAGGTTGAGTAGAAGGTCTAGTACTTATTTCTCCTCACAGTCTAATATGTCGCAGGCTTGTTCACGTTCCGATTCCCCGATATTTTGGGAAGCAGGGCGTGACAGATTGTTGTTATAATTGTCACGTCCTTGACTATTGTAGTATTCACGTCCTCGGTTGTTGTAGTTCACGTATCCTCGTTCCCTGCCACTTGAATTTTCTCCTTGTTGGTCTCTTTCGTACTGTACTCCTTTGTTATTTTTTTATAAAAGCTTGAGTTTGAAAATCTTTCTCAAGGGGCTTCTTAGTTGACCTCTCGTTCATGTGTTGCTCGTGAACTTGTAAGGTACCCACCAACTCATCAACTGTCATCTTGGACAAATCCTTCGATTCTTCGATTGCCACCATGATATGATCAAATTTTACTGTAAGAGATCGCAATATCTTCTCCACGATTGCTAAATCTGTAACCTTCTCCCCGTTTATTTTTATTTGATTTGTTAAAGCAAGTACTCGAGTTATGTAATCTGCAGCACTTTCAACAGGTTTCATCTATAAAATTTCAAATTAACGTCTCAATGTTTGAAGCCTAACTTTTTTCACCTTCTCAACTCCATGGTACGATGTCTCCAAAATATCCCACACTTAGTTTGCTGTAGTTGCTCCGTCGATCTTCTCAAAAACTGAATCATTCACTCCTTGATGGATGTAGAATAGCATCTTACGATCCTTCCTCTTGATCTCACCGTGGGCTTTCTTCTCGGATTCACTTGCGCTATTTGCGATATTGACAACTCCGTTCTCTACGACACCCAATATATCTTCATATTCAAACAACACCTTCATCTGCACTCTCCACCGGTGATAATTCTTCCTATCCAATATAAGAATAGAAGGCGATGTCGTCCCGTTTAGATTGTTCATGGCTCTGATACTACTGTTGGAGCAATCAACGGCAAAGCAAATAGAAGCATAATATGTATGAGGAGAGATTTAGTGGGAGAAGGAAATAAAAAAAATTCTTTTTTAACTCTTTGTTACTGTAGCTACTGTATTCGGATTTTTTGATCTCTTTTTTTTCTCCTCTTTTTTTTCCTTAAGTAGAAGGATGCATGAATGCCTATTTAAAGGCTTTACAAATTGTTTCATAATGGAATTCTAGTATGACTATAATTACTAGCGATAATTAATTCAAATAGCAAACTTGAGTCTAAAGTGCTATACTATGCTTTTCAATTAATTTCCTATTAACCGAACAAAAACACAAGAAAACTGTAAAATTTTGAGATATTTTAGACCTTGAATTTGTAGAATTCCAAAATGCAATTTCTGGAGTCAGACTATCTCTAAGCTCTTGTCAATTCTTTTATCTGTTATCGAATCAGTGATATGGCGCATTATATGAAGGAGCGGTTATTGGCGTAAGATAGAGGGTGATTTCTCTCTGCTATCTTACGCCCCCGCTTAGTTCTCAGATAGCTAAAAAAAAGAACAAAAATGGGAAAAAAAATTCTACAAATTGGATTAAGGTCTTCAAATCCAAGTTCATCTGCTCTAGAGGATCAATCTGATGTGTCCTTTGTTGAAGATGATGATGATTCTTGCATCGAGATGGGGTCAACGGGACCGAAGGGTGAGAAGAAGAAGGTTCTGATGATGGAAATTCTTCGATCTAAGGTCTTTTCTGATGATCCACAAGCTACTCCTAGACCTGTAGGAGTTCAATCTCAGAATCTTGACAAATTGTCGATCTCTGGTAAGATCCTCAACTCGATTGATATTTTTTCTAATACTAGATCTAGGGCGGATGAAGTTGAACAAGGAAATAATCTGGAATTTTCTCCTTCTCGGGGATTCGTAGAGAGTTCATCGAGAGAAAGGCCTAATTCAGTTCTGGTTTCAGATCTTGATCAGAATACTGTTGCATTGAAATCAAATATTAGAAATTTAGCTACTGATCCTGTCTCAATTTCAAAATCTTCTGGTAAAAACTCAATTAAGAATCCTGGTGCATCAAATCTTGATCCCTCTGATTTTCCTCAACTAAATCCCTTGGTTGATAAACCTCCCCCTGATAGTTCTGTTAAGAAAAGCTGGGTCAGTATGTTTGCTGATAATAGATTACCAGGGAACGGTTTTGATCTGGATTTTTTACCACCTTCTTCTAAAGATGTTGTCTCTTTTGAAGAAGATGAATGGAACGAGGGGATGTCTACATGGAAATTTTCATTGATTGGGCAGGTCATTGGTCTGAACGTAAAATTTAGAGCGATGGAGATTTTTGTACAAAAGGTGTGGGCTCCTATTGCTAATCCAGAAATTTGTCTTCTTAAACCTGGAATCTTCCTGTTCAAATTTAAAAGTAAAGAGGAAATGGGTGATATTCTTGAAAGGGGTCCTTGGTTTTTTGGTTCTAGGCCTTTACTTTTAAAGGCATGGGCAGCAAATAATGAGATTGATCATATTAAAGAATGCTTATACCCAATGTGGATTCAATTGCCGGGTTTGAAATTAAACTTGTGGAATGCAAGGTGTATTAGTAAGATTGTGAGTGCTATTGGAAAGCCTATAACCACTGATAAGCTCACTGCCAGTAGACAGAGACTCTCATATGCCAGGGTTCTAGTTGAAGTAACTTTACCAACATCCCTTCCTGATTATATAACCATTCAGGGACCGCATGGTGAATCTTTTAATCAGAAGGTGAATTATGAACTGAAGCCAAGATGGTGTGATTTTTGTAAATTAGTTGGGCATGACACTAATTTTTGCAAGAGGCAAACCAAGGTTCAGAAATGGGTGCCTAAACAGAATTTAAAAAGGGCTGATAATGATGAAACTAAAATTTCTACTCTTAGTGGCTCACAAGTGCTTAGTAGAATGGAGTGTGTTGATTCTCCTCAGCATCCTGTTATAGAACCTGTGCATGCTGTGCACATCCAAACTCCTAAAGGTCCTATATCTGGATCTGATATGCATTCATCTGGGAGTGCAGGGGTTTCAGGCAAATTTGGAAAGTTAGTACAAGGGAATACCAATAATGATGTTGGAAAAGATATTATATCTGATCACTTTTAAAAGGGAAAATCTGGACAACTAAAAGCAAAGGAGGTCCCTAGCTCCTGTCTGGAATCCGAGCATGTTGTACACAGATTGAAGCCTGTGCATGTTATACACACTCAAAATTCTGCAGTCTCAATGTTTGGATCTGTGGATTCTGGGCATTTAAATGAGATCCCTAGCTCCTGTCTAGAATCTGAACATATTGTCCATAGCCTGGAACCTGTGCATGTTGTGCACGCCCGCAATTCTACAGTCACAATGCCTGGATCTGGTATCAGATTTATGCATGGGTCTGGGAGTGCAGGTGCTTTAGGAAATACTGGGAAATTGGTTCAAGGGAATATTTCTTCAGCAAATTCTTTTCTCCCCTTGGGTTTTTTAGAGATAACTGACCCTTCTACTTTGGATAGAGGGGATCAAACCAAAAGAACATGAACCTAACTTTCTGGAATGTTAGAGGATTGAATAAATCCTCTAAGAAGCATTTAGTCAAGCATCACCTATATCAATATAATTCCTCTTTCATTGCTCTGATTGAGACTAAAATTAAAGATATTATGATTCCAGCTGGAGCCAAGAAAATTGCTAATAGTTGGAACTGGATATCAAATGTCAGGAGTTCTGGTAAAGCAAGAATTCTTTTACTATGGGACCCTGATGTTTTGGAGGTTCAACCCTTAAAGTCTTCTGATCAACACATTACATGTACAGTTAAATCAATTGATGGGAAAGTTAGATGTGTCATTACTTCAGTTTATGGTTTCAATCAGATGGAAGCTAGAAAAGATCTTTGGTTGGAGCTCACTCAAATTAAACAGAGTATTGGTAATCTTCCTTGGTTACTTTGTGGAGACTTTAATGTTATGATAAATAATGAGAAGTTAGGGGGTTCAATCCTATCTGAGGCTGATACTACGGACTTCAAAGACTTCATTGAGAATTGTTTGCTTTCTCACCTGAAAACTCTTGGATGTTTTTATACTTGGAACAACAAGAAAGAAGCTGATTCCAGAGTCTGGTGTAGGCTAGACAGAGCACTGGTTAATGATGCATGGATAAATACTTACAATGCCAGTCATGTTGAATTTCTTCTTCCCAGTTTTTCTGATCACTCTCCTGCTCAAATTGCAATCTATGAAGAATATATCCAAGGAAAAAAGCCCTTCAAATTCTTCAAAATGTGGACAACTCATCCTAGCTATGTATCCACAGTTTCTGAGGTCTGGAAAGAATCTATTCAAGGGTGCAAAATGTTTTCAGTGTGCAAAAAGCTCAAACTGCTGAAAGGGGCTCTTAAAACTTTAAATAAAAAGCACTTCTATAATATAAGTGAGCAAGTTCAAAGAGCTAAAATTGCTTTGGAGGACACTCAGAGGGAACTGCAGAATCAGCCTTTCCACCCTATGCTTATATTGCAGGAGAAAGAACTTCTATTAAAATATAATAATCTCATTGATTGTGAAATGTCATTTTATCAACAAACGGCCAGGATTAAATGGAGTCTTCAAGGTGACAGGTGCACGAGTCTTTTTCACAATATTGCAAAATCCATAAAGCATAACAACAGGGTGGTTATTTTGTATAATAGTCTGGGGGAGAGAATTACTGAACCTGAGGGAATTGTAAATGAATTTGTTACATTCTATAAAAACTTATGGGGACAGCAGTGAACACAATTCCCCTTGATATGAGTATCATAAAGTCAGGTCCTTGCTTGTCAACTTTACAGGCTGCTGCCCTTGGTGCTCCAGTTACAAATGATGAAATAAAATCAGCAGTGTTCTCTATATCTGAAAGTAAAGCTCCTGGACCTGATGGATTTAGTATGTCATTCTTCAAATCTTCTTGGTCAACCATTGGAGAGGAAATCACTCAAGCTGTTCATGAGTTTTTCAGGAATGGCAAATTGCTTGGTATGGTGAACTCTACTTCTATCTCCCTTATTCCAAAAATAAAGTGCCCAAAGTCACCATCTGATTTTAGACCAATATCATGTTGCAATTGTGTTTATAAATTCATCTCAAAAGTGCTAGCTAATAGATTGAAAACAGTGATGGGATGCTGTTGCAATTGTGTTTATAAATTCATCTCAAAAGTGCTAGCTAATAGATTGAAAACAGTGATGGGATGCATTGTTAATCAAGCACAAAGTGCTTTTGTCAAAGGGAGGCAAATTTCAAGCAATATTATGCTTGCTCATCAGTTGATCAGGAATTATAGCAGAAAATATCTCTCCAAGAGCTTGTTAGACCCTAGAGGGGGGGGGGGGGGGTAGGGTCTTATGCTAATCTAATCCGATTATATGCCAATTAAAAACTAATTAATAAATTATCCTAGCAAGTATGAAACACAACAAGATATGTAAGCTAGGATAAGCAATATGAACTAAGTGATATATCCTAGCAATAAGATATTACAAAATGAGCAAGGATATGAAACTAACACAAGGGTAAACAATATGAAACAAGATAGGGGATCATATAAATAATGAGCTAATGAGAATGGCGACAAGAAATATAAACACAAGTATAAATAAACGCCAAAGCACACTCAAACACAAGATATGATCACGGAGTTCGGACCTTCCGTCCTACGTCTCCGCTCCCCACTCCCGGGGAGAAATCCACTATCACAACCGGGTTTTCTACGCTCACCCGAATAACGTTTACAACCACACTATGTCGGTTTTCAACCTCACCGATCAACGTCACTCCTCACACTCGGTTTTCTAGTTCACCGAAAACTTCACAACACACTCGGTTTTCTAGCTCACCGAAAACCTTACACCACTCACAATGTAACAAATATAAATTTGTTCTCTACAATAGATGAGAACACAATTAAGCACAACTCAATGTTACAATCTCTCACAACCCTAATATACTATGTATGCAAATACAATAAGCTCAAGTGGGTGTGTGTAACAATGAGATAATATAATCAAATCTAAACTCAATATAAAAACTAGCTTTAAAGAATGATAATCAAATAACTAAGCAAATGTAAAGCTAGATAGAGTTTAGAAAACTTCTCCAATAGATGACAAGATGGAGAGATGGAGATTGGAGCCCAAACAAGAAGATGATCTCCTCCACTTGTGAAAACAATCTTCAAACCAAACAAACACTAAAACACACTTAAACCCTTGTTTAAAGCTCTTTAAACTTGTTTAAAACATTTCTTAAGTCACCTTAGAAGTATGATGGCATGGAGTATATATAGGCTCATGAAACAAGCCCAAAAAACCAAGAAAACCAAGCAAAAAGACAAAAAAATGGATATATCAAAATCTGGGAAATATAGCCATTGTGCTACAGTAACCACGTCCAGAGAGCTTGGCGGTCGACCGTACCGGTCGACCGCTGGTACTGTAGCACTATATTTCAGTTTTGTAAAATAAATTAAAAATAGTAAAACAGTTCTAAAAAATATGAAATTTTGTGGGAAGGTTATAGACATGTAGAATAATATGTTAGAGAAAGAATATCTGAAAAATCATTTCCCAGTTGAGAGAAATAAATGTTTGAACACAGATTTACAGTTTCTAAAAAACTACTGACATACGCGATTTTGTAAAATCAATTGGGCATAGTAAATCAACTCCAAAAATAGTAAAATTTTGAGAGAAGTTTCTAAACATGTAGATAAACATGTCAAAGAAAGAATTTCTTAAATATCACTTCCCATTTATAAAAACTCATCTGTTTTGTAAAACATGCACGAACATGTGCACAAACAAAAACATGATTTTGTAAATTCCATTAAACATAACAAATCAATTCCAAACTTGATGAAACTTTGAGAAATGTTTGTAAACATGAAAACAAACATGTTAGAAAAAGAATTTCTCAAATTGAATTTCCATTTGTGAAAACTCATGTATTTTGCAAGTATGTCCAAAACATGAAAACCCAAAACCATGCATGTATATATATAACTATATATATACATAGAAACCAAATACGTGTGTATGAAATGTCTTCATAAACATTATAACACATGAATATAAAGTAAACATGGTCAATAAAATAATATCACAAAGTTTTCTCAAAATAGCTTATTTTGTGAGAAAATCCAATATTATGTGTGTATATGATATTGAGCTTAGAGTATCTAACACACATAATATAAATCTAAACTAGATTACCCAAACTTGATCTTGATCTTCATTGTAGCTCAACTTGGTACACGTTGCGGATGAAGCTTGAACTTGATCTTTAACTTGAATTTTACGATGGTTCACTCCACAATTCCGCCAACCTCCTCTTGATATGATCGTGTAGGCTCAATCCATCCAACCTCCAACTCTTGATATGATCGTGTAGGCTCAATCCATCCAACCTCCAACTACGTTGTTTGTCTATAATACATAGGAATGCACAAACACTAGACAAATAACATTAGTAGTAAATTGTTTGTAAATCATCATCAAAACAAGAAGGCCAACAGAGCTATGGTCAGTATTGATATCAGGAAGGCATTTGATACCATAAGCTGGAGGTTCATTTCAGACTTGCTTCAGGGTCTGGGTTTTCCAGCTTCTATGATCAAATGGATTATGGCATGTATCACTTCACCAAGCTATTCAATCTCTCTTAATGGATCTCTACATGGATATTTTAAAGGTGAACGTGGCTTAAGGCAAGGTGACCCTCTCTCCCCTTACCTCTTCATCCTAGGAATGGAGTATCTCTCAAGGAAGTTAGATCTTCTATATCATGACAGGATGTTCAAATTCCACCCTAAATGTAAGAGGCTCAAAATTACACACTTGGTCTTTGCGGATGATCTCCTATTATTTTCTAAAGCTGACCACTACTCTATACAGAAGCTTCACCAGTGTGTCCAAGAGTTTGGTAATATTACAGGTCTTGAAGCCAACCCTGATAAATGTTCTATTTTCTTAGGGGGTGTGGATGATTTAACAAAGTCGTCTATCATCAACCTGTTGGGATTCAAATTGGGTGAACTACCTTTCAAATATTTAGGTGTTCCCCTAGTATCCAAGCGATTGTCTTACCTGGACTGTAATCTTTTATTTACAAAGATAGAAGACCAATTCAATTCATGGCAGAAGCATAAAACCCTCTCATATGCAGGTAGAATACAAGTGATCAAAAGTGTGATACTGGGTATTCAAACCTTCTGGACCTCCAATTTTGTCCTCCCAGTTAAGGTTATGCAGAGGGTTGATTCATTGTGCAGGGGTTTTTTATGGGGAAAATCAACTCATACTTTTAGGACTCCTCTTGTGTCATGGGAAAAAATATGTTTAAGGAAGGAACAGGGAGGATTGGGGTTGTTCTCTGCTCCTATTTGGAATTATGCATCTGCCTTGAGGTGTATATGGCATATTCATATAAACAAGGAGTTATTATGGATTAAGTGGATCCATGGTACGTATTTGAAGAATAGTGATATCTGGCATGTGAACATAAGATGTGGAGACTCATGGATGTGGAGACAACTGCTCAAGACAAGAGACAAAGCCATTTCTTTCTGTGGTGGGGTGGAAAACTTGAAGAATATGATATATTCCTGCAATATGGATGGAAAAATTAAACTATCTGCCCTATATAAGTGCTTGTATCCTAGTGCAAGCAATGTTGCATGGTCAAAGCTTATCTGGGAGAGACTAAACATCCCTAAGCACTCTTTCATATGCTGGCTAGCAATTCAGAATAGATTGTTGACACAGGACAGAATTTTGAAGTGGGGGATTGCAAACACTAACTCCTGTTGCTTATGCTCTGCTTCGGTGGAATCCAGAGATCATTTATTTTTTGAATGTCCTTTTTCATGCCAGGTATGGAATGGGGTGTTGGATTGGCTCCAAAGTAGATGGAAATCTTGTAATTGGAACCAATGTGTGCACTGGTTCTCTACCTATCTGAGAGGTAAGGGTTCAACTCAAAAACTTAAGAAAATGGCTATGGTCACTACAGTTTACATCTTATGGAGAGAAAGGAATAGAAGACTGTTTCAAGAGAAAAACAAAGGTCCGGATGCAGTGATCAAAGAAATTAAAATGGAGATATTGTATATTGTTCTCAATAGCCCTCAAGGTGGAGGTATCCATTGTAATCTCTGTTAAGGGGGTCATTAGTTTTCTCTTTGTTTGTTACTCAGATGAGTTGTGCTAATCTGAGTATCTTGAGGTGTACTAAAACTTCTCATTTTTGGTAGTGAATAAAATTTTTCATTCACCAAAAAAAGATATGGCGCATTATTTGACTAACTAATTGAATATTGATCGACTACTCCGTTCAGCTTGTTAGCGGAAGAATCCCAAGTCTATTGCCAAAGAAAAAAAATAAAGATGATGATGATGATGATAATCTATACTATCGTATTGAAAAACCAACCAGAGTTACCATAAAGTTTGAATGACTTTGTTCATCACAATAGAAAAGAGAGGGACATATTTGTAAAATTATGGGTCAAAGTGAGCAAACACTTCTTTCGTTACTTTTTTATTTTATTATTTCTAGAATATTCCAAATTATGACTTAGAATTAGACTTGACTCACGTAAATGAAATTATAATTTATAAGCGTGTCTTTTTCTTTGTGTTCTCTTTTTTTTATTTCTAGAACATTTTAAATCATGACATATAAGAATAAAATTTGAACTCACATAATTAAAAATTATAGTATTCTCAATTTTTTTAATCACTTACTCCAATAACATTATCCTCAATATCGAGAAGCTTCTTTACAAAATTGGATAGCCTCATTTCCATGCATAAAAAAAAAAAAAAATAGAAACTGGTCTCGAAAATATTAAGAATAAGTATTAAAACTTCAGAAACGAGAGCTAACAAATCCATATACAGAGTCATATAAAGTCATAGAGATAATCAAGTTCATATGTACAGTTAGGAAAGAACAGATCGTTCCGTACATGCCGTATGATTTAATGGTAACTGGCCCATCTGTGTGGATTAAATTAATATAAACAAAACTTGGCCCAGGAGAGATGTTTCCTTTTACTTCAATGTTAATATTCGTATTAGAGCCTGTTAGGTTGCTTAAGAAATTAAAAAATGGTATTATAAGAAATACATTTTCTATAATATCTAACTGCTGATAGCTTTTATATATACTAGTTTTTATGCACGTGCATTATACGTGGTTAAATATCATAATTATTCATTTTTAGTTTATTTTCTTACTAAAATTTGTTCTTCGATTTCGATTTTTGCTCATTTATGTCTCTAAAATTTAATATTGTGATTATTTATCTTCTTTAATATTTGTTTGAGTGGGCTACATGAAAAAACTAATATTTTTTTAATATTTTTTTGAATGGGCTACATAAAAACAATGTGAGACCAATTTGAATATTCATGTTATTTAAATCGACATGAAAGGAAGCTTCACCTAAGTAAGTATAATGATGTAAAGTAGAAAATATTTAAAAAAATAGCATTATAATAAAAAAAGAAATCATTAAAGCTAATGAGCCTAGACAATTGATTAGAAGTGGCTACATGGCACAAAAAAGAATATGCATTTTATTCATAATCATTGATAGACTTCATTGAAAACCATAAACTAAATATTAATACTAACTCTAATATAATTTTATATGATAAAAGCATCCACAGAATAAGTATATAAATATATACTTATTTTGGCATTGATAAATTCTAGGAAGGTCGAGATTTAGATCCTCAACTTTTTGGCATTATTGTTCTAACTATATAGATTACAATTAGACTACTAAATCTGCAATTGGCAAATAACTAAAATGTTTTTAAGAAAAATAACAAGGATGTTCTTTCATTTATTTGACAATACAATATTCTTTCCTAACATAGAATTTGAATATATAGACCATATCATTATGTAATACTTCCTAATATATGTAAATGGAAAAAAGGAGCAGCAAAATCACCGACAATACTCGAGGAACAAACCGAGTAGAATAGAATTTTCACAGAAAACTTTTGTAAGTAATAGCAACAAATAAGCACTAAAACATATCTAAAAAGATCTTTTCTTCATAATTTACTTTAGATATTTTTAACAGTTTCTATAGCTATGCTCAGCACAAATAAAACCACAGTACTAAAGAATCAACAAATCACTGAATTCATATAAAAATAGAGGTTCATTGAAAGTTTTCTACATCAGACTTCATGCCTCTTATCAGTTTTCTTGTTGAGTCGAGACTTTCCGAGTACGAAGAAAGACACGGAACAACTTCATTTAGGATTGGAGTGCAAGTATCATGCTCAAAGTCATGACTACATAATCTGCTTGAATAGTTCCTATAATTACGATACTCGAATAGAATCTTGTCATCAGCGATACTGATAACTTTGGGTAATTATGGTGAACCTAAGCAGCTCTCTCAGCAATTTTCGGTACAGACGCTCAACATCTCAATCCAATTCTTGTTATCCTTGAGCATCCATATCTTCACCTGAGGTTTTTTATATGTAACAAGCGCAACGCAAACATGCCCTCTTAGCTCATGTATAGTTATACAACAATCTTGTAACAAGCGCAACGCAAACATGCCCTCTTAGCTCATGTATAGTTATACAACAATCTCTCCTAAGTGGCGTATGAGCGATCGATGTAACTTCAAACTTCTTATGTTTGATATCGAACCTAAGGACAGCCATGCGGTAGCTTTCATTTTCTTCTAGGTAATTTGAATATCATGATTATTTAAATTGACAAAAATAGAGTTAAAATAAAAAAAAGAAAATAAACTTTTTTGTGGGATTGATCATCAACTCAATAATCTCTCTCTTAAATAAAATATTATCATTATTTTTTAACCCAGACTGTGGCCACGTGATTTACTATTTTTGAGTTATAAACACATTAATCTAGTACAATATCTCTATTTATTAGTATCTTGAAGTCTTTAAAAAATGGGTGATCATTCAATTCGTAAAGAAATTTTACATATGAATTTACTTGCAATATGTCCATTAAATTTTTAGTTAACTTTACATTATAGTTTGCTACTTGTAATATTATTGGCAATGTCATTACCTTTCCTCTTTAAAGATTTCACTAGAATATGTCGAACGTTATTGTTAAGACTCATCAATAACAATATGTGGAATTTTGTGTCTTTTAAGACTCATCGATAACAATATAATTTAAATAAAGCAGATACAAGATTTCGTTAATATATTGAAAAAATGAACTATATAAGCAGCGATAGGAGAACTTGAGAGGAAAAAAAGGACTTGAAAAAGGCAAGTGAAAAATAAATGAACTTAAAATGAGGAAATGAGGCTGGATGTGGATATGATTGTATCATATGTATTTGTACTTAAGGAGGTATTTCATATACATTGGTACTAAATAATAAGTGGCTTAAGTCGATGTTTCCATGCTCAAAACGTTTCATATACATTGGTACTAAATAATAAGTGGCTTAAGTCGATGTTTCCATGCTCAAAACATTTTATAGCATCACATAAGCAAAAGAATATGTTAATAAGATCTGAAACACTTTGTGAACTATCTTTGTACTTCACAGATCACATGAAATACTATCATGCATACTTTGGCATTTAGGGGACTGATGAACAAAGGCATACAGTTTTAAGAAAAAAATTAGCTTATGAGATATTAATGATAAGGGACATATCGAGAATGAAATCCTATCATAACAGAGATGCTACTACGAAAATCTCTACCTCTTCCTAAAGATAAAGATCATCGGGACTCGAGAGTCCCCATTCTGTTTTCAAAATATGTTGAGTTCGGGACATCTATGGCATTTACAGACTAATGTGTGTGGTTTCAACTGTAAGTCATAAATTGCAACATCAAAATTGAATAATCCTAATACGAATCAAATAAATAAAATAATATTTTGCTGATTCATTTTCAAATATAGGCTTAGTAATTTAGTGATTTTAATGTGTAATGACAAATCCCCTGATAAGCAAATATCAATCACACAAAAAGCAAAGAAAATATAAACAAGATAATACACACAGGTAGTTCATGGTTCAAATCAGGCTTAAATACCAAATTAGTATATTTATACGAATGTGTTTACCAGTTTGGTATTTTTAAAAATTCTGGTGACAGAAAGGTATTAAAGCTCGTCCTTTTTGTCAATAAGATCTTTTTCTCAAAATTCCAGCGAGAAAATTTATTTTAACCCCCTACCTCTCAAAATTATTAAATATATGCCCATATTTTTCAAAAAAATGTCATCCCCTCCCTCTCCCCCTCCTCCTCCTCCTTGTTGTCGACGTCCTCCTCCACCTCTCCCATTCTCCTCTCCTCCCCTCCTCCGCCTCTCCCCCTCCCTCTCCTCCCCTCCTCCGTCTAATATTCACACTTACATTATGTTGTTCAGGGGCATTTAGGAAAGAGGGGGGAGAAAAGGGAGGGACCCAATGGTGAATTTTGAGAGCATATTTGTTGCGGGTTTGGTGAAGACAAGGAGGACATTAGAGGCAACCAAATATGTAGAGAGGATGATGAAGGTTAAGGGGGTGGAGGTGCCAAGATTTATTTAGGCTAAGTTCATGTATTAGTTTTCAAATGAGGAAGGGTTGGTGATGTTTGAGGAGGTAGTGAGGAGATTGAAGGAGGTGGGATGGGTAGATGTTGGGGATGTGTTGCTGGTGCATGGACAGACTTCAAGACGGGCAGCCGGGTCCTCAACCTCTCGAGCAAGCTCATGGACCAGGTCAACTGGCTCCCCGCCACCATATCCAAACTCTCCAGTACTCTCATAACCCTCAACCTCTCAGACAACCCAGCTGTCTGGGCTACCAACTGTTAGCCCTTATGTTTTGATAATGTTTTACAACCATCATTATCGGTACTAATTGCTTGTTGAGTGATATTATAGTTAATATATATATCAAGTTTACAACCATCATTATCGGTACTAATTGCTT